GTCTTGGCTGCGGGGGCGTTCCTGCTAGCTCGTGCTGTAGCTCTGCTGCATCCCTAAACTGGAAGGTATCGCAAAATCATAACGCAAGATGCCGAAAAGCTGTAATGCACGATACATCATTTGCCTGTGTACCGATGAAACCGTAACTATAGCCTTTAAAAAAAAAGATATCCTTAAGCTAAAACTAGAAAAAGCACTTAAGAGGTGAAAAACGAAGCGATACGCAAATTTCATGCGCGCTTTAGTCCTTGGATAGCAGAAAATTGGGCTCTTCACATTAAACAGGGGTGGAATAACAGGGTGTGGGCATAGGGGTGGGGAAAACCCTGGCAGGGAAGGTGGGATGTGGTAAATGGTGCCTTTTTGGCTGAAGGTGGAGTTGGCGCTGTTCCTTCTCTCTGTCTGCTAGAGCAAGATTAAGTTAATAGGATTGGAGAAATCCCTTGGACGGTATTATTGCTAGGCATGGGAGAATTAAGAATTTTACGCCGTCAATATTGTTACTTCCAACAGGATACAATCAACAAATTGGAGAATGAGCTGAGAACCACGAAGAGTGAAATGGCTCGGTACTTGAAGGAATACCAAGACCTGCTCAATGTGAAAATGGCCCTGGATATAGAAATTGCAGCATATAGGTATGATGGGGGAATGTTGTAGTAAGTCAGAACCCAGATAGGGTTCGCGTTCTCTCTTTGAGAGAATTCATTTTATTTATCATTCTTCCAGCAGAAATTTTCATAGATAGATGTCAGAGTTTAGTCAGGTCGTTTCTATTGTCTTGCTATTGGAAGAAGCAGTGCTTTTGAGGTAGAATATTTGCTTAGAGCAAAATCTTCAGTGTAGCAAACTTCAGTGAGTATAATAGTATGTATGTGTATGCATATAGAACTCTTAGCTTGGCCATATATGATCTCAGTTCTCCATCTTTACAGATAAAAACAGCTGTTCTGTACTTAGAGTGAAGAGATTTTTTTTCAGTGGAACTTCTTAATACAGATGGATGTGTTCTCAAAACTGGAAATCCCTTACATCCTTTTCACAGGAGCAGTCTCCTGCAAAGCAAATATTTTACAGCAGAGCTGCTGCTAAATAGCAGTTTAATTTGTCCCAGATACTGTTAGAAATGGCAAATGCTGAAACAGAGCTTCTGTGAATGCCACAAGGGGGAATATTGAGAACGTGGCTATAAACCTTGTCCGATAGCTAAACATAACATCAAATTGTTACATTGGCATTGTTCTCTGCTACCCTACAGGCTACCAAAATACACCTCTAGCTTCACCTGCTATAGGAACCTAATCCTAGAGGTTTTTTTCCTCATTATTCCTTCTAACAAGGAAAAGCATTAATACACCAGTAATGCACACCTCAAAATCTTAAATGATTGCAAGAAGATAGGGTAGCATTGCCGCATAGTTACTCATCATGGGCTAGTTCTCGCACTCCTGAGTACGCAGTCTCCAGGACTTGCGCTGCCCAAAGCATCGTAGTATCTTGGTCTGTAGCTGAATCTACTGAATATTGCTGCAGCATAACTAAGTCACTTCTGCTTGCCTTTTTTTTCCTGCTAGGAAACTGCTGGAAGGTGAAGAGACCCGACTCAGTTTCACTAGTGTTGGGAGCATCACCAGTGGCTACACCCAGGCTGCCCCGACTTTTGGCAGGTCTGCCTACAGTGGTCTCCAGTCCAGCTCCTACTTGATGACAACCCGTTCCTTCCCCACGTACTACTCCAGTCATGTCCAGGAAGAGCAGATTGAAATAGAAGAAACGATTGAGGCTGCTAAAGCAGGAGAAGCCAAGGCAGCCCCTGCAGAAGAAGGTGAGGAGGAAGAGAAAGAGGAAGGTGAGGAAGAAGCAGGAGGTGAAGAGGCTGAAGAAGAGGAGGAAGGTACTTGTAGTTACTTTCAAATTCCTCTCTTTCATGCTTCACCCTGCTCATATAGGTTAAAACCCAGAAATCCTGATGACTTAAGTCTGATGTTAGGCCTCTCTCATTGTCTGCTTGCACGAGCAAAGGATCGTGGGATTAAGCACACAGCATTTAAGCAGGAAAGCCTGAATACTGAATGGAAGATAAGGTAAACGTTCAGTATCAGGCAGATTATAGGAGTGATTATACTCCCTTGGAAATCACTGGGTGTTTTTTTCCATTCAAGTTTCCAAAACCAAGAATGGTAATACTTTAACAGTGTGTAACGTTATGTTCATCTGGCAGCAAACAGTACTTGGCTGTTACAGACGTCCTCAAAGAAGGAACAAGGACATCCTGAGCTAAGTGCTACTTCCCAAAGAGTAGCCCGTGGTAATAGGAACATCAGCTGATGTCTGTGGATGTGACCGTTGAGTTTAGTGGATAGCAATATCTATTGCCTGAGGTCTAGCTAGTTTTCTTGTTCAAGCAAAGTGTATGCCACTTCCTTGCTGCCCCGTAGTTTATTTACCAAACTCACATTTTAAAGGGAATGTTACCCAGAGTTGCTTTTCCCAACTTCAGTTGCATAGCTCTGAAGGATTTAACCTAAACATATCTGAAATGCATTGGTTATCATTGAACTATTTGAGGAGTTCATTAATGTAAAGATTAATTGTAATGAAGTGATAGCTGAAGAGCCTGTCGGAGAGCAATGGCAAGATTCCTGTTTGAACTCAAGTCTTTGGATAAGGCTTAAAGCAATAGATCCACAGCCAATTCGTATTTTTCAAGGCCGTCATTTTGAAAAGAAAGTGTTTCACTCCTTCTGAAACCTAGGGCAAGCTGGTTGTGTGGTTCTGTTCTCCCCTGCAAGTCCCAGATAAATGTCCCTGCTTCCATGCAAAATCGGTTGCCAGCCCCATCGTGTTTAGCTGACTGCCATCCAAATGTGTGGGGTTGAAGGGTGCGGGTGTGCTGGCTCCCATTAAATTGGGATTAGGAACAGTATGTAGATGTGAAATACATATTTTTGTCTTTCAAAGGTGCTAAGGAAGAATCTGAAGAAGCTAAAGAGGGTGAGGAAGAGGAAGGAGAAGGGGAAGAAACAGCAGCTGAAGAAGGAGAGGAGTCTCAGGAAACTGCTGAGGAAACTGGTGAGGAGGAGAAGGAAGAGAAGGAAGAGAAAGAAGAGAAAGAAGCAGCAGGAAAGGAAGAGAGTGAAGTGAAAAAGAAGGCTTGATTTTTAGGCAGTATAGCTTTCTCATCAGATCAACAGAATAAATGATGATTGACTGAGCTAAAATTGCAGTCTCACATATTTAATTCAGTGACCACTGAGGTTTAAAGTTAATGATCTATGATGTTTCTCTCTGTGCAGAGTATCAGTATGCTTGCAGAGCACCCACTGGCTTGCTCCCTGAATGCCGCATGGTCTACACGTATGAATTCAGGGATTATGTCTTTCTTGGGTGATTCAGAACATTAAAATTTAAAATGGGGGGAAAAAAAAATAAGTCATGGGAATGAAAGTTATCTTTAACTTGCATTTAAAATAATTATGGAAACCTTGGGTGGGTAAAATAACGGAGGCTTCAATAAGTATGTGCAATAAAGCTAGTCAATAAAGTTACAGAAATGCTTACACAGATTCCTTGTATGTGTCACGTGTCACTGATGCACTTAAAAGGTTGGTGAAGTGGTGTATCGTGCTCACCGTTCTAGCCTGTGTAACAGGAGATGGGCTGCTGGTTTCTGTCTCTAGCTGATATGCTTGGGGGACTGGTAGGTGGACAAAATGTCCTGATGGGGCTGTAAAATTTCACATGGAAATCTTGCAATGGTAAAAATGCACTGGTGTCCAAATGTGCTGTTAGCTTTGTGGTGGGTCTCAGTGGGCTGTGGTAGGCACACAACCACAAGCTCCCTTTTCCTGTTTGAAAGGAGAAACTTTAACAAACCAATACAGAAGCCAAACGCAAATGTGGGTGTTAAACATTGGTAGGAAGTTGTTCAACGACTGACAGATCAGTGGTAAAAGGGAAGAATGACTGTAGCTGAGGCTTGGAGCAGTGTCTGTATATTTAAAGGAGAGAAAAAAAAAAAAGCTGTGGTGAGGTGTTTGAGGGAAGGACAACAGAGGGGGAGTTCTCTCTGCTACTCGGATGAGCTACCTTTCCAGGGTGCCATCTTAAGTCAGTCCACTATGGACTGAAGAGGCTCATTTTCTTCTGAGAATTTGTTGGGGCCTTTTAAAGTTTTGAGTGTGAGCTAAAGAAAAGCGTAATCTGTGATCAGGCACAACATAGGAACGGCTCAAACAGCAGCAAATCCTGGCAATTCTGAAAGCAATGTCTATCTCCTGTGGTCTGAGCTTATTTTCAATTAGCTAAAGTTGATCTATAAAATTAAACCTTGTGTTAAGGGCGAATACTAGACTAGTGTTGCAAATTAAACCCTTTAAAATAAGCTAAACCCATGGGAAAGCCATGTTAAAACAGGCTGCGCTGAAGCTTTCCACAGTCACGTTTGGCTAGATGGATTTTTGCATAGGCTTTTGGGGTAACTTGTAGTTTTGTACGCTGACTTCATAGTACCAATTGGTTTGCATTGGTTCTTGATGGTTATGTTCAGAGAGAAAGGCGGTGTCTTTTTTTTTACAAATTGTAGGGGTGTTCCAAAAGCATCTCCCTTTTCAGTGTTGGAAGAGTTACAAAGAAGGTGATGATGGATGAGGTAAGCACTTAAAACAATTCTTTCTTTCCATGTTCCCAGGAAAAACAGCAGGAGAAAGAAGCAGCAGCTTTGGTAAAACCGTTCAGGAAACAGAGCTTGTATGCATATGTACTAAGTCCAGTAACTCCTGTTCAGGGAGTTCCAGTGTCATTTCCAAATGCTTAATTTTTTTTCCCCACTACTTTCTTGGGGTTTTTGATGCTTTTGAGAACCAGAAGACAAACAAGTAAATTATTTTTCCCTTTTTTCAACAGCATCTCTCTTAAATATTTCTTTTTCACATTTCCCTTCTACTTTCAATGGAGATTTTTTCTCTCTGTGTTTATGTGGACTTATTCTTACAAAGCAGATTTTATTTTCTATCTCCAGGAGAGCGGTGGTGAGCGGTGGGGGGTACTTGCGGTACCATGGGCCAGAGACTCAACCATGCTCTTTGCTCAGTGCTTTTAAAGGCTATTGATGGGATTGCAAGAGACCTGCTCCTTTTGGTATGTGATACCCTTGGTTCAAACAGCAGAATACTGAGTCTTAAGAGATGGTACTTGGAAATTCACCTACGTGCGCTATCAGAAAATGCTTAGCGTGGCACTTCACTTGGGAGAGAGGTTCTGCTCCTACGGAGCAAAAAACCTGATATGCACCGCATCAGAACTCATCACAGCCATTAAAGACAAACCACTGTTAAATAGATTGGCGTATATTAAAACCACTGCTCTGTCCTGCCTTTCTCTGAGCTCCTTTTAACTTTTCAGTACCTGATTTTGCTTCCTCTTTCACGTCTTTCTTCACAGATAAACTCCTCCTTCATTCAGTTCTTTGTACCCTTTTCACTGCTAGAAGGCAATATAGCTCACAGCTCTCCAAAGCATTGCAACCAGGCTGCTAGGGATGCTCTCAAACCAGCACATTTAGAGATAAACCAGCAAATAAATTTCTCCTTGCAGTGTATCTCAGTCCGATCCCCACTCCTTCTGTTATTTTTAATGTGTTGCAGCTAGAGGAGAGCTTTCACCGCTCTGCAGGGAACGTGTGAGTCACAGCCATGGCAATGAGCTGCAGAGCGACGAGCTGCAGTGACCGTCCAGCCTGGTTTGTCACCCCCAGTCCTGCCTCGCTGCTAAGCTAAACTGGTGGGAGGGAGGATGGAAGCGTGCGTTTGTGTGCCGAGATGCTCTCAGGGTTGCGAGGATCCTACTGGCAACGCTTGCTTTACCTTTGAAAATCCAGGAGCTTGCTTTGACGCAATGCAGTAAAAACAGGCAGAGGGAGACAGGATGGAAACTTTAACCCAAGTTGCAGCTGCGAGTAAAGCCACGAGTCTGTCCCTGAATTTTCTCTTGCTGTTTGGGCAGACGGGGTCTGGATCAGGCCGAGATCTCATCCCAGGGAAGATGAATACAAGGAGGTCCTGATTGCTTTTCTTGAGATACGCATACACACACGCGCCCCTTCCACTCAGCAGAGGAAAACTTGTAGAGGTATAATATCCAGGTTCTAGGAATTTGCCTTCTAGTAACTAAATAATTGACAATTCATCATTTCATGCCTGCCTAGACTAGTTAAGGGGAGTTTAATCCTGAACAGAGGAGGAAGAAAGCCCACACGTGAACGGGAAAAGCACAGACCATGATGCCTGGAGAAAATTCTAGTGCCTGACTCAGCTCCCTGGCAAAGGCAACCTATTTGTGCTTTGTAACACTTCCCAGTTTGTTTCCACCTGGAATTTTATTCTGGGATGCTGAAAATCTCTTAATCGTAGCATCCCCGCAGCCCGGCATGGTGAAAAGGTCCTGTTTTAGAGCCCTCTGGCTTCTGAAGTCACGGGGGTCTTGGTAGCCCACCTTAAATAAGACACATAAATCTTCACAGTAACTTCCTTTAATTGTTTTTCCCTTCATGGAGTCTTTTGTATAGATTAATGAAGTTCTGTGTCTGAAAGTAATTAATCCTTTCACTGGTTATGCACAGTCTGAAGAAGTAATTGGTGCAGAACAGGCAAATAACATACTATTTATGCATCTCTGCCCTGGAATTATGCTCTCTTTTGAAACTGTTTGATTGCAGATGTCAGTAGACAAAACCTCTTGGCAACATTAAATATTAATCAGTTCTTATAGTTTTATAAATATTTGGAAATGTGTTAACCACTTGGTTATTTCTCTTAGGGTTCGAGGAAAACATTTGCAGTGGGAAATAGACTAAACTCACCATTTCATTTTGCGTGTTAGAGCAGGGGAAAAAAAATGCAGTTCTGGGTAATGACTAAAGGCTGCAATA